CCCTGTACCACTGAGCCAACACCCTAAGCCCTGGAATTCTTTGTCATGATGATTGCATTAGGATTTTTTGTTGTTGTTTTCTTCCCCCCTTGACAAAACCCTGTAAGTTTTCAAAACTCAGTAAAATTCAGTATCTCTCATTCAAATGGTTAAGAGAAATAACTTCCAGGTACCCCTTAAAGGGGAGGAGGGAGAGAATTTTTGAGACATCCTTACAACCTGGTGCAAGGTAAAGAGATGAGCGTCTCTTCCCCAGCATGGCTTCAGAAAAGGAACAAAGCCCCTAGACTCCTCAGCAGGTAGTTTTGCACCCACGGGTCTACCCCAGTCTGCCATCCACCTACCATGCAGACTCCTGTGCAGATGCAACAGCACTCAGTCACATCCACCACCCTGCTGTGGGCAAGCATGGGACCCCTCATTTGGATGCGTACTTGGGCTACAAGTTGGTTCCATCCACATCCCATGTGGCTGTCCCAGAGTGAGGAAAGTGCATGCCAGCTTATTTTCCCTTCCAGATGTGAAGAGCTGATAGTTTGGGCCTAAGAACAGATGAGAACCCTTTGCAAAGGGCAAAACTCATCTATTGAGGTGTGCTTCATCTTTCTGGTCATGAACTGCCATATTTTTCTAATCCCTCCACCCAGAAAGAATACTGCTAACATTTTGATACATAGTTTCCCAGTGTTTATATGTTTTTGTTTTGTTTTATTTTTGCAAAACTGAACCAATATTATATATGCTGTTAATAAGCTTTTTGCCACTTAGCAGTGTGCTAATTGCATGTTATAAACTGGTCTTCATTTCATGCTAGAGGTAAACAACCTGAGCTTCACTTGGAACTGCTTCAAAGGAAGAGCAGGTACAAATTTCAACGGGAAAGCTCTTTAAATTTTTTTTTTTTTTTTTTTTTGGAAGCTCTTTAAAATGTGCTTTGTGTTGGTGTTTGCTCTCCAGGCATCTCTGTATCATTCTCTCTGGCCTGTGCAGTAGCATCCTAAACTCACTTTCCTGGCATTTATGACCCTAGATTAATTGGTAGCCCAGGAATCATTCCACAGTGAAGAGCTTTTCTTAGAGAACCCCCTGCATCTTTGAACACAGTATTGTTTCTGGCTGAGAAGACAGCTAACCCTGTGGGGACACAACTGCAGGCTCTACTTGAAGAAGGGCCAGGGCACTGTCTTGGCTCGCAGAAACCAGTCGAATCTCAAAATGCAGGCCAGTCTCTCCTCACCCTGACAGTAATAAAGTGGTCACACATCACAAGTCACCAGACCCCACAGATGGTCGTTGCTGGGCATTGGAAAGGAATGTGGGAGTTTGTGCTGAGTTCTATGCACAAAAAGTCTGTTTAAAAAGTACACTTGGATATTTGTCTGTAGTAATCCTCTAAGGGTTATTTTTGTGTGTCAACAAAGGAATCCCAAGTGAGAAGGAAGGGAATTGTCTGTTTTGTATGACCATTGAGGACACAACAAGGTTCCTCGTCCCTCCTCAGATGCCTGATACCTGGTTTTGTTGGGGTGTGTTTTAAAATAACATAGCATAAAATTTATCATTTTAACCAGTTTTAAGTGTGCAGTTCTGTGGCATTAAACATATTCAGTGTTGTTCAACCATCAATACCGTCTGTCCCCAAAACTTTGTCATTTACCCAAACTGAAGCTTTGCCTGTTAAATATAACCCCCTCACCTCCCTCTCCAGCCTTTGGGATTACCACTCTACTTTCTGTCTGTGAATTTGACTACTTTCAGTACCTCACATAAGTGGAGTTGTACAGTATTTTATTTTTTATGAATGCTTTATTTCAAAAGGTTGGCATGATGTCCTCAAGGTTTATCTGTGTGGTAGCATATGTCATTTCCTTTCTAGACTAACACTCCCATTTTATCAGCATATCCCATTTTATTTTATTTTCCTTTACCTGCAAATGGATATTAAATGTTACTTCAACGCTGAACTAGTATGAACAGTGCTGCTTGAACGTGGCTATGGGGATACTGCATTAAGAGCCCGTTTTTGTTTTTTTCATATACACCTGGAGTGGCGCGGGATTGCTGGAATAACACCTGTCTTTGGATTTTTCTAGCCCAGTTTTCTAGAAAGATAGGGCGGGCCTTAAATGATGAAAACAATTCTATAGTCTGTGTTAGAATCCTGTTTTCAAGTTTTTTCTATTACACCAGCTCAGTTGGGTTTCTGTGCAGTGTCAAGCTAATGTAATAATTGCTTCTGAAGTACGTTTTTTGCTCATTGCCTGGGATATGTTTCTTACAAATATTTATATCAGAACTGTTACCTCATAGTTACCCAAACAAGGGCAGTAAATCCATCAAACCTGTTCTTTATACATTGTTCTGTGTTAATTATCACACAGCAAGCCAGCAGATGTCTCCTTTAGGTTGTACTATAGTTTAGAAATACTCAAAAGTATTTGCAGTCATTCTTTATTTTGCAAAAGTCTGCATCAGTATGAAAATATAAACATCTCTCAAATGCTCATTTCCAAAGCTTAACCAGAGCATTCAAGCACAAATCTGAGGAGAGGAGGTTCTTTTTTCCAAGAAACCCTGGTAAAATGTCAGTGTCCAAAAACCAGTTTTCTCTTGCCTTTACTCATCTTGTGTACTTTTAGCTAGAGTGGTTGGTGTGCATATGCCTTTTTTTTTTCCTGTATTTTAAGGAAGGGTCTTCAGAGTGTTCAGGGTCTTACTACTAGCTCAGACTCATAGTGATCCGCCCGTTTATAGCCTCCCAAAAGCTGGGATTACAGGCGCACTCCCGCACACCCAGTCTCAATTGCCCTCTCAGGGTGCCCCAGGGGCTGGGCCTGCATGGCAGGTCCAGGGATTGAACCTGGCCCCTGCGCCTGCTTGCAGGCACTTTAATCCGCTGAGCTATTTGGCCGGCCCTCCATATGCCATTTTGGATAGGCTTATCAAACTAGTTCTCTTAAAATATTTTTTAAAAAGATTTTTTTTTCTTTTTCTTTTTTCTTTTTTTGGGTAGGATTTAAGTATAAGCTCTGCAATTACACGTTGTAGCCACCAGGTGGCGATCTACCCTCAGTAAGCTCCTGTTTTCACAGGGTTATCCCTACTAGCCCAGTTACTGTATTTTGCCTTTTGGCCTTAGCAATACTGTGTTTTTTACACTCTTACTACAATCTTTCCAGATTCCAGTATTACACAGGCTGACCTCTTTTAAGGTCACACTGAGTGAAGCATAAATAAAAGTTACTTGAAGTAAAAAATAATCCAAAGTAAATTCCTTAAAGATATAAAACTCAGCTCAGTATTTGGAGCTTGTTAACTCCTTTCCCAAAACTGTATAAATGCAGCTCATCTAAGTAAAATACCTGAATCTGACTTTAGATCTCTGCTGGTAGCTTGCTGAAGTTTTATAATTATCTGCCCAATAGTTTTGTCTCCCTAAAGCCCAGGCCTTCCCCAAGATCCAACCTCCCTGCTCTGCCTCCTTTGTACACCTGTCCCTGAGCCTGGAACATGTCTCCTTGGTCTCTGATAGCTCACTGAGGTGACATAAACAGGTAAGATGGGACTTTGTGCAGTATGAGAAAACAACACACTGGGATAGTTTGAGATCTAAAGAGTGAGGGTATATACTCATTGCAGTCAGTGAAGGAGCATAGGTAGGGTGTATAGGCTGGAGGACTGGCTCTTGGGACAGGCCCACTGGGGTTAGCCTCTTTCCAGACATAGGAACCATGTGTACTCACCTCCTTTGGGGAGTGGGAGGGTCGGAAGACCACTGGAAATACCCCCTCTCCCTTCACGGCAGAACTTCATGTTTTCCTAAACTTAGATCAGCTCTCATGTATGTAAAATCAGAGGCCAGACGTGTGAAATCAGAGGCTACTGTTCCTGTCTGAGAAGGCAAATGGTAAACTCTAAAGCCAGCAGTCACAGTGTAGTATAGTGAAGGACAGGAGCAGGTGACTGGTGTGTGATGGGGCCAGGCATCACCAGCTGCTTCGGAGGGTTAGGTATGAAACTGAGTGTGTGGCCCAGGGCCAGCATTCAAGGAATAGATCTGTCATTGTCCCCCCTCCACCCAGTAACTCTCAAGAAATACACCTAGTTTAATTTGATTGGTAATTGACAGGAGAAATTCTCAAAGTAGAAATTTTTAAATTTCTTCAGGTATTTGTCATTCATTTTTAACAGTGTAAGTGGGTGAGCAAAATGGATCTTAGTATCACCTCTTCTCATGGAGCTTCTGAGTGTGTGGGTCCAGCCAGCCTCTGCCTCAGCAAGGCCAACAGAGATAGGGCTTAAGGGCTGTGCTCTCCAGGTGATTGAGGTGCTTGTGTGAGCTTGAGACTGCTTTTCTCCTTCAGGGTCACTGTTCCTGCAGCGTTCTCATCAGGAACACCTGTACCATTCCTCTTCTCTCCTCCCATGAGAGGCTTTCTCCTCAAGGCATGTCTTGAGCTCTGCCTTCCGACAGCTCTTGATGACTTTATCAGCCCTACCACACAAGGCCCAGACTCTGGCCATGGAAGTAGACTTTTATGCTGAGCCAGAACCTGCTTGCTCTCTCTCTCTCTCTCTCTCGCGCGCGCTCTCTCTCTCTCTCTCTCTCTCTCTCTCTCTCTCTCTCTCTGTGTGTGTGTGTGTGTGTGTGATGGCACAGTGAAATGAGTCACCCTGACCTGCTCTGTGTGTGTGTGTGTGTGTGTGTGTGTGTGTGTGTGTGTGGTGGCGGCGCAGTGAAATGAGTCACCCTGAAGCACTTCCTGGTAATCATCCCAATTAATCAGGCCTCATTCTCCTGGGCACCAGATCAAATGGATTCGGCTTTTAATAACAATTTGGTGGTTAAACCCGAATTCTGGTGCTCAACCAGGCAATTAATTAGATCACTTTTCTCCCTGGAGGATTCAGTTTTCTAGAGTCTTATCTCCAGCAGTTTGGCTGGCCAAACAGCCTAGTGGGGCAGCTGAGTGTATGCTATTTTTGCTTTTGCTTTACAGGAATGAGCTAGAGCGACAGTTTCTTGAATTGCTCCAATTCAACATCAATGTCCCTTCCAGTGTGTATGCCAAGTATTATTTTGATCTTCGTTCTCTGGCAGAAGCGAACAACCTGAGTTTTCCCTTAGAGCCCTTGAGCAGAGAGAGGGCTCACAAGCTTGAGGTAAGAATGTCTAAAACATTGTTATCCATTGGACTGCTGCAGATGCATCATCTGATTTGCAGTGTGTGTAGCCACTGCAACCATTTTTCCTATAATGTGCTATAAAATAAGGGCCCACATTTGCTGCTAATCACTTAGTTTAGTTGATTATAATTTGTACAATTTTGTATTTTAATAGCCTTTTACAATCAGTTTTTACTTAATATTTATAAAGATTTTTAGAAACCCTTGTCCTTAACAGAATTTTTAAACATACAAATCCACAGTAAAAGTATTTCTTAGCATGAACTTTTTAGGAAAAAACTTCCAAACAAACTTAAGAATTGGAAACCCAGAAATGTTCGACTACATCAGTCTTTTCCTACCATAACACTATGAGAGTTGACCTCACTGGTTTTGGTTCTGGGCTGAGCCATTATTAGCCATGTGACTTTGGGATCTTATCATGGCATGAATGTGTGAAACTTAACTTCATGTTTTTATCAGACTCTTTCCATCTTACTTTCAGACTAAGAAAAGGCAGGTGGTAAGAAGGGTCCTGGCAAAACCCTCTCCTCCTGAGCCACCCTCTGGTAATTTAATCCCTGGACAACATTTTTATTTCTTGTCATAGCATAGCACCTTTGACCAAAGTGGTGGATGGCACAATCCTGTCTGAAGCTAGGTGAAACCCACAAGGTTTTGTGCTGCCCACTGTACCATCTAGCTCAAGTAGCTTTTCCTACTTAGGAAAGGATCAAAAGGGCAGTGGCAGTGTAGTGGTCTGACAGAGCTAATAACTGAGGTAAAACAAAGCCAGAGGTACGGGGCTAGAGTTGTTCTGTATTACAGATTTAGAAAGCACATGTTTTAGGCTAGGGATATAGTGCAGGATAGAGGACTTGCCCAGCATACCTGATGCCCTGGCTTTAATCTTAAGCATTATGATATATACACATACCCCATACTTCAAAAAATTAGTCCTAAAAAGGAATCTTAGGTTGAAACAGTGGAACAGACTGGTGTCTGGCACTGCAATAAAATCCAGAGGTTTTTAGAACTGTACCATTTTGCTGGAATTATATGTTAGCCATTGGGATGAAATTGCTCATTCAGTCTCGGACTTATTTATTCAAGGGGAGAAATGGATAACCCTCTCTTAGAGGGATTCACTCTAAACCACATAATGAAACTCAAAGAATATACATGAGCTGGAATCTAGTTTTCCCAGTGAGCATGGAGCTGCTGTGGCTCAGGCTGAAGCTCCATTGCTAGACCTGAGGGAAGTACACACATCCTGTGATGGAGAACATATGGGGTTCTGGGTCCACCAATCTAAGCAGAGGCTGGCTGAGCTGATGAGGGTCGTACCCAGTGTTGAGGAGTCACCAGGATTAAAGAGAATTAGGCCAAGTATGATTGTGCATTTCTGTAATCTCAAGACTCTGGAGGCTAGGCAGAAGGATCCTTTCAAGTTTGAGGCTAACCTGGCCTGCATAGTGAGTCTAAGGCCAACCTCAACTACATAGCAAGACCCTGTCTCAAAAAGAATCAGAGTTGCTGTGGGGCTGAATAGAAACCATCTCAAGAAAAGCTCATGGTGCCCCTTTGAATAATCTGTAAGGAATGAATGTCTTACTTTCCAGACCCTAGCGCCCTATTGGTTCACTTGGGGATGAGGCAAATGAACTAGTGTAACAGAATGCAAGAAGTGAGCTGTATCAAAAGCTGCCCTTGTCTGAAGCTCTCTCCCTGCTCAGATCTGCCAAATGACATTTTGATCTGTTGGTTTTACTGTAGAATGTGTACCAAAAGCCAAGGCAGATGCAGATTAGTTTCTGCACTAGCAAGGAATTTGAAATAAATTAGTATCTTTGTAAATGTGAGAAAGGTATAATTAAAGTTAATGTTACTTCTCACAAAGAAAATCTAAAATAAGGTAGAACATTTAATCTTTTTATGGGATTACCTTTAGTCTCATACTACAAACTGAGAAACAACAAATGTTAATCTCAGGAAATTTAGGAATAAAAAATTTGCTCTGAAAAAAATGACAGCTTTTAAGATCTTAGAGCTCACTGCATAAAGCAGCATCAGGGAGCAAGTGACCTTGGCATGGTGACTGGTTCTGGGTGCGTAGACCCTCCTGGAGAAGAAGGACTGCTTTTTCAAGGCCTCATTGGATCCTAGACTGACTACACTGTCTCTTCTGTTCCCAGGCCATCTCTCGCCTCTGTGAGGACAAGTACAAGGACCTGAGAAGATCCTCACGGAAGCGGTCAGCAAGTGCTGACAATTTAACTCTGCCAAGGTGGTCACCGGCCATCATCTCCTAACCGCTCATTGACCCCACTGGAGCCTGTACCACCCCTCAGTTTCTCTTGTGGTTTGAGAAAAGACATGTTGGAGTGGTTTTGTTTTTGTTCTTCCTTTCTTTTTCTAACTCATAGCTCCGGCAGGCAGCCCTCACTCCACCTTGTGCAGTTGGCTGTACACAACAAGACTTCGAGGGAAGCAAAGTCAGTATTCTGGAAACCGGTTTCACACCTTTCCCCATCTCCATTAACAGCACTTCCTTTGTGGAGGAAACAGACTCATCCTGGAGGAGGAAACAGAGGGAAAGGAAGTTGGTGGAGGCGGGAAACATGGTTGAGAGGCTTGGCCATTTCTTAATGCCCCATCTGGTCAGGAGATGAAGGCGCCAGAAGTACGTAGGAGGTAGCCAAGTTGGATGTGCATTTAAAGACAGGAACGCCACACTTAGCACCCCATTTGGATCAGTGTGTTCTGTAAGACTTCTTGCATTCCTTCTTGCTGCTTTTTGGGGGGGATTTGAGAGATTTTGTTTATTTTTATTCTGTTTTGGTCCTAAAGAGCAGAGAATATAGTTTGTACCCACTATGGCACAGACCTCCAAATAAATAGTACTGTTTGTTTCTCTCTGCACTATTTTTGTGAGCTGTCTTCTGAGCTTTCGTCCTAAGTGGGATGTGCTTCTTACGTTTCTGTACATCTTTATTGTACTGTATATGGTTTTTCTTCAACTGTAGCAGAATTCAACGTGACTATAGTGCTGAACCCAAAGTTTCCCATTCCCTTCTTATTCCTCACACCAAGAAAATTCTAGGTCACACGGGTGCTTGTGCCTTCCAGTTTTCTTCCAGTTGCTGCTTTTGTTGTTATTGTTTGTATACCCCTTATCCCCCACCCCCACCCCACCAGTTGTAACTACAAGTGAGTCAGACCTTGTGCGCTGAAGGAAACAGTGTGTAGTAAGGGCCTCCCTGTGTGGGGCTGACCCAGGGAGCTCCATGTGCCAGAGTCACCATGCACAAACATTTCTCTGTTCTCCTGTCTGGTTCCTTCTACTACCATGTCCATTGTTGCAAGCAATATTCTTCTCAATTTTTATATGTTTACTTCAAATCAAAGTTAGTCTATTTGTATAAAATTTTTTAAAAACGTAAAACTACAAAAAGGGTGGGAGGGTGGGTGGGCATTCCAATGGGAAGATCACTGACAGGAAAATGTTACTATTTACTGAGGTATTTTTCACAGAATGATTAAATAAAAGTTCATCTTGCATTTTCATTGTGGGTGCTTAGAGGAGATAAAAATAATCCAAACTGTGAAGATTTATGCTTCATTAATTATGACCATGCTTTTTCATTTTCTGACTACCCCTGATTTTCTTAAGAGCTAAATATAAGAATATTTTGTATCAGAATAAAAGAGCTAAAGATACAAAATCAAATAGCAAATTTGATATCAAGTCTAAGAATCTGAGTCCTTTACACAGATAAAGCTTTGAGTTTTTGCTTACTTTCTTAGGCCACAGTGACTGAGGTTTCTGAGTTTTGTTTTTCAAGTCAGAGGCAAATTAACAGTAGTGATCTCTGTTTCACTGTCTTTCTACATGAGCTTGGAAAACTTTAGAATTCAGTGTTAATTAGTTTTGAGTACCCTAAAGGCATACATCTGACCCCTACTATACGCACCCAAAGTAAAATATGCTTTGGAAATGGAAGGGACTCAGAAAATCAAAATCTCAAGAACACCAAGCCAAGAGTTGATTTCATTGGAATGTGTGTTATGTATAATCATAATTATTTGGGCCAGGACTATGGCCAAATTATTTCTGGCCTACACTTTCAAATACAGACAGCAGCAAATGAAAACTTAAATTACTTTCCCATTGTAATTGTAATTTACTTTGAATGGGAACCTAATCAGCTTCTCTCTTCAAGAATTGAATTTAGAACTTGAAATAGAGATCTAAAAATGTAGAAAATACCATTTTATATTCCCTAATCTATATAGCTTAAAAAGGGACATATTTTCTTAGCTGAATATGAATACCTCGTAGACATAAATTCATTCCTCTCATGTAAAATATCTTATTTTATCAATCCATTTCAGGAAAGAAATTCTGACTTTAGAGCAGAAATCTTATTTTTATCCCTTTTATTTGAATGAGAGATTTAAAAATTGAATTATGTAAATATTTCAATGCATCTACTATTATTTTGTGGAGTTTATTAAACTACTTTTAAAAATTGTATAGTCTATTTATTGTATGTATGTACATACAGTCTAATACATGAAATTTAAAGTGGGTTCCGTATAACCTGGTTCAGTCTTGTTTAGACTATTGACTATTGTTTTAGCCTTGTGCACTGGACTCTCTACCTCTGTATAGGAAAATTTTCCATATTCATTAATTACTGTTGATCTGTATTAATTGGTTATGTTTCTTGCACTAAGGATTTTTAAAACTACTGTAAGTGTAGGTTTTAGTTTTACCTCTGCAGTATGAATCACTTGACATATGAGTAGAGATCTTAGGTTCATTTTATTTTTGGATGTGATGATAAATACATTTTTTTATTATCTGCTTTGTTCTGTTTGCCAAAAGGAAAAACAAAACACACACACACACACACACACACACACACACACACACACAGTACAGTACCTATTTATAAATGTAGTGAGTACAATTTGTTTGCTAAATGATTAAGTGCCCTACAGCTAAAACTGGATGGCTACTTAGGAACACATTTTGTAAGTACAGTTTTTGAATGGAGAGTTTTTCATCATTAATGAAGAATGAAGAAAACTTACGATTTGTTGACTTTAATTTTAGATTTGAACTCAACAGCAAATAAAGTCATTGGAGCTCTAATAGATGTCCCAGAGAATTTTTTTTTTTTTTTTTTTAAACTTGGAAAGGGGAGGATGTCAAAAGGTTAAAAGCAAACTGGGAGCTGAAGGCTGGAGGTATATGAGGGCATCCTGAGCCTCAACCTTGTGGAACTATCAGTTCCTCCAAACTGGCTTTACTGCCTTCTTTCTCTTGGTCTTTGGCAGGGTGCATCTCCATTTTATGGTTTCCCTGGTCTGGGGCTTTTACTCATTTGATGCAAGGCAGAATTTGGGAAGTGAACAAATTTGACTTTTCCTTCTGTCATTGGTTTTTTTTTTTTTTTGGTAGCCTGCTATTTGGGGCCATGTTTTATAGCTTTGAATTTTTAAAAATTCTGGGTTCATTACAGCTTTTAAATAAGTGTTAAATAATACATACATACGTACATACATACAACAAACTGTGCCTGCATCCCTGCCACATTTTTTGAGTTGTGTTAAGATAAAACAAGTTTTATGCGTGCCAAGTGAACTAATTCAAGAACAGAAGAAGCCTATTAGCCACGTGAGTCCTTATTAAAACAGTTTGAGATCTAGTTAGAAATTACCCTCAGCCAGTTGGTTATGCAGTAGAAAGCTAATAAAGCCTATCGCCTCTTATTGATGCTCTGTGTTATCCCATGTCTTGCCCTTTACTATGGAGTCAGCATTTCAAGACTTACATCAGATGGATCTTATAATTATAAACATGGATCATCTTCTGAAAAGCCAACCATAGGGAGCTCCTGGTTTAAAAAAAGAAAGTAAAAAAATATACTGTTACTTTGAAGGTGGGAAGGGATAGTTCACTTGTGCTCCTTAAGCTGCATGGATTTAAGGGGACATCTCACAGGCAACTTCATTAAGGTAATAATTTGCTGTTATTGAATAAGGGGCTTACTAAAAAGTAGTTCCGAAAAGCAGATTGCCCCATAGGGGACAAGCAAGTCCAGTGGGGATGAGCAGGCACTTGGCATTGGCAAAGCTGGTGATAGGCACATTATCCCGACTTCTGCCCAGATTTTCCAGTTATTGTGTGGTGGAAAGATTTCTTTGTGTTGCTTAAGCATTAGAAACTTTTTTCAGGAGTTCAGTGATCAACACTAAAAATGATCTGCTTGTATCCTCAAATAAGAATTGATAAAGGCTGCTGACTACATTGCTACAAGTCTGTGTGTTGACTGCAAGTTTCCAGGTGAGGATCTGTCCCAGCAGCTATATCTGTAATTTACAGATCCCTGTAGAATGAACCTGTTATAGTAAGAAATGGACTCAACCATGGTGTCTGATCAAATGGCATTTAGATTTTACAGGTCTTATAAACCATCTTATATCTTTAGTGATTTGGTTTGGGGTAAGGGACTTTATTGCTTTTAAGCTTTTGTTTATATAAGTTATTTCAAATGTGGGATAAAAGAATGTCATTCAAAAATAAATACAATTTTGGAAAAAATATTAAATGTAACTTGGAACTTATGTGTAAGATTTTGTTAATGTTGGTATTGACGTGTTATAATGGAAACCTGAATGTCAGTCTCAGTTTAAAATTAACTTACTGCATAACTTTGAACAAATTCACTTACTTGGACTTCTCAGTGAACTTGTCTGTCAGGGATACGCTTAATACCTTCACCCCTCTGCTGTCTTTCTGAACATACCCTGCTCATTCATTCTTGCCTCATGACTATTGGTCATTTGGACATTGGGACCTAGTAAAAGACGAGCACAAACTTGAATTTCCCTAGAGAAGATAAATTGTCTCTTTTGCACCACACATACACAGAAGTGTGGCATTGGTAGCTGTTGCTCTTATCTTTCATCAGGGTCCTCTAATGTAGCTAAATGTTCAACTTGTCCTCAAATTAGACATTACTAGAACGGATTGCTCCCCCTTAACAGATATGAAAATCTCAAACTGTAAAGTTGGATATGTGTGTCCACCTTAGAGTGAGGCTATCCTGTAAAGAGAGAAGCATCATTGCTGTTCACCTCCAGTTGTTTGTTCCTCTCATTCAAACAGACCAACACAGAAATCACAGCCTTAGAAGAGGAGGATGGGGAACAGCCACTCCAGAATTCCCACCTCTTCTCCAAAGAGTTGGTGTCCACTCCAAGGGAAAAAATACTATTTAGGAGATGAGTGGTAAAAAGATGGTCCCTCATCTTTAGATGCCCATGTGCAGTGTTTTAGCAATGTTCAGTAGCCGTATGGTCTTGCAAGGCTTTAAGGTTGTTAGACTGTTATTTCATCTTTAAAATGAAATGTATCACACTGTAGGTTATCCTTAGATCCTTCCAGTTGTGAATATTCAATTCTGTCACTTAGCTATTCTGGGATTCCAGGAGCAGTCTTGAACTCCTGTTTTATTCAGCCTTGCAAATGAGAAAAACAATACAGAATTTGGGAAAACAGTATCAAAGCACTGAGCATCCAAATGCTTTTTAGTTGCCTTCAGCTATCCTCTGCAGCATCTGATACTAAGTGGTGGCCTCAAGTATAAACAAAAGCAGAAACAAGATTCCTGTTTTTATAGATTATTATCAAGAATTTTACATGTTATCTTCATAATGATTCTAAACTTTAGTAAAGGCTTTAGCAAACATAATTGTCCCTTCAGCAAAGTATTATATGCACTGTGCTACACATTGTTAAGTGTTGGGGATTGCTGCAATAGGTAAGAGATGGGCAAGAGGTTTTGTTTGCATAGTGAATATGTTAGTGGACCAGTCAGTGAAAAAAGAGTAGCAGATTTTGCTTTA